CTTTAATTGATTAGTTAATAATATACAGATGAGTCAGGGCTGATATTCGAGCCAAGTTATTCTGGTTCGGTTTGTTCTCTAAAAGAGTTGAGTTTAAACAATTTTTTAGTTCATTTAGACTTAACTCATTTATATATAAAATAGTCAAACTTTGAGGTTGAGGTTCGGTTCAGTTTTGAATTTGACTCATTTTTTCAAACAAATTAAATTTAAATAATTTTTTAAAATTCATTTTAAAAAACTAACTTGATAAGCCAATTCAATTATCAAGTGTACCGATGGACCCACCTTGAGGGAAAGTTCAAGACATGCCACCAACCCATTGTTTTGTCCCTATTTTTACCGACCACTTAACCAAAGTAATTACAACCGCAGTATGAACCATGGACGACAATTTCCCCACACACAATACAATACGACAAAAAGGGCGGTCTTCGTTTACAGATCTCTCAAAATGTAGAATTAGTTTTCCCAGTAAATCTTACAACTGGAGTGGTTGATTTGATTTTATCAAAGAATTTTACATTAGTTTTCTTCGTGTTAATTTATTGTCAATCAGTAACATTGTTCTCACTAAATTTGAAGTCAAACTTAATAGTTCAAATCATATATTATAGCCAACTGATGGGACATTTTCGAAATACTCCGAGATGAAGACACGTATCCTCGGTGTCATTAATCATTTTTACCGAGATCACGTACCCATCGGGTCACAAGTCCTCTCTCCCCCCGAGGTACTGATCATGGGGATCGAGTGGCATCCAGTACGTTTTTATGTACCGACACGTACCCTCGGTCTGATATGGTACATCGGTCGCTAGGCCTCCCCCTTTCGACTTCAAGATGTACCTATTCCTCGGCTCCGAGATGTATCTCTTCCTTGGCTTTGAGATGTACCTCTTCCTCGATACCGAGATGTACCCCCCTCATCCAGGATGAAGTCCTCTGCTCCAGCAGAGGCTATTGATGCACTGGTCACTAGCCTAGGCTAGACTAGGTTAGCTATCATGACCTCGTTTTACACAATTGGTGTCAGAAGGCACAGGAAGGCAAGTGCCACAGTCAATGGGGAATGGACGCGTGGCATATTGTGTCACATCAGAGACAGAAAAGACCGAATGACCTTGCTGACACGCGACTTGGGAAAACAAGCATTTAATTACACCATTCCCCTTGATGAGACTGTATTCAATGCGGTAAGACTCGGAAGTGAAAGACAATAAATGTCTCTAAGGCTGGGCATTTATTGCATCCTCCCCGAGAGGAGCTCATTGAACCGTCGGCAGGTCGATGACACAGTCTTGATTACTCGGGGTCCCGAACAGTTAAAAGAGAAGACATTCCTCATAGAAATCAGTGCGCACGTTGCCTGTATCTAATGATCACCTACTGACCACACTGACAGCAATCATGAGTATTTGAGGTATAAATACTCCTCATTAAAGGCAAGGAAAAGAAGGTAAAAACTTTTGCTACAAATTATACTCAGTGTTTTCTTTTTTCTCTCTCTCAAAAACTGACTTGATCGTCGGAGGGAATACGCCAAAAAACACTCCGGCGCCCTTCTAACTTGTTCTTTTTTGTTCCAGGAACCTTTCTTTAGCCTTACTGGATCGTTCCTTTGATCCGCGAGGATCTCCCATTACCGTTCCAGGTTACCACCAGATCTCACAGGCTGTTCCAAGCAGCGTGATTGACCACTCAACTGACTCACTCGAGTTCATCAAGGGAGAGATCTGTTCTCGTTTTTATATTGTGCAAGATCTAGCACGCACACCAACAAATAAGAAGTATTCAAGAAAATTTAAGTGGTGTATAATATATATACACCTTGCGTATCATCTCGATCATCCATTATCATTATGGTTTTAAATAAGTAAGACATTAAAGAATTGTTTGTTTGGTGAATTTGAACGGATTTGAAAGAAGAAACTCAAGAAATGAATTGGTTTTGTCGCCATATCATTGGTTTAATGTATTTATTGTAAAGAGTGAAACTTTTTTGGATAAATTACAATGACTTCTCTTCTCAAAACAGTCAGAATGATAGAAAAGACAGACCCACAACCAATGACAATGTTACACGTATGCAACCATCACAAGAAGATATTTAATGATCCCTCAGAGGATGAGACGTGTTTATTGCTTGGAGATTCCCAAAGGAAGAGTAATAAATGCTCGGGAGCCTAGCAGTTAATGCTTATAGTCCTCTCACGCAAAATAGAAGACACTTTGCTCAAGGACTGAACACCATCGCTTGCTGCTTGCCAAATGGGTTAATGAGGGACTTTCTTCTTGAGGGAGCCCATCTGTCCGCAATGAGTACCTTCATAAAAATATAAATAGCCCTCACAAATAGGAAGCAAAGGTATGCAAACCACACTCAACAATACAATAGTGTTTTCACCCCCTTTCTCACATATATTGACTTGATCGTTAGAGAGATCACATCAAAAAACACTCCAGCGCCCTTCTAACTTTCTTTTTTAAGTGACAGATTTTTTCTCAACTTGTCGAAATCGTGCAGACAACTAGAAAAACAATCATCAACACTCCTTACTATCTTTCTCACTTTCTATTGCCTTGAAATTCTCTATTTTCAGGTAAATCTCGTATTTATCAAAAGAGAAATTTATATTTTTTATTTATTGTACGAAAATTACTGCTTACAACCACACAACAAATTGACTCAAATTTTAGACCTCACAATCCACCTACAAATTTAATGAATTCACAACAACATAGAGATGGAATTAATTTGCCCACACCATTGATCCCCAAATTGATCTAAAATTTAAAATTCATCTCCCAAGAAATCACTAAAACAATTCACCAAAAATTTCATCAAATTTGACCATTCAAGTAATCCTTGACCCAACTTACTATTTATCAAAACCAAAAGCCCAAACCACCACAAAGACATGCGTGCATAGGAGGGTAAAATTGTAACTTCTCCATTTCTATTCACACAAGTTGGGACACGACACTGACGAGAGATCTGATTGTAATTTTTAAAACAAGAAGGGGTATAGTGAAATAGCTAAAAACTGCAAGGGGTGTCATTGTAATTACCCAAAAGCTTTCTTCTTGAGTCAAACGAAGTAAAATAGGTTATTATTATTATTATTATTTTTTGACAGCATTAGCTGTGTCGGCGGAGGAGTTGATAAAACAAGAAATCTAAACGAAAATCGGCTTATGATAAAACAATGATGCTCCTTCATCTTCTTCTATAGTATATTTATTCTCTAGATTTAGATGATGGGAGAGGATTGTTAAAGAGCTTAGTTGGTGTTTACGAAGGACTCATCAAATCACAAAACTAGAAAGGGGAAGAAAGTCAAAAAAGAATTATTGAAGTAGAACATGAAGATTCTTCCGGCAGATATTTTGATCGGGGTCGGAAGAAGCAAGGAGTGATAGAGAGAGTGAGAAGTTGTACAAATAAAAAAAAAAAGAAAAGAAATGAGGAAGAATGGTGGAGGTGTTCTCAGTCCTCTCCCCACCAGGAGAGAACTTGGAACACTAACTGAGGTTTCTTCTTCTACCGGATCGCTTCTATTGGCAATCTGAATTGTTTTGCGCCCAAATTTTAATAGAAAATCAAGAGATCGGGAGTAGAGTTGGGTCATTTTGGTCTTCAGTTTATTGTGTGTGTGTGTGTGAGAGAGAGAGAGAGAGAGAGAGAGAGAGAGNATAGTGTTTTCACCCCCTTTCTCACATATATTGACTTGATCGTTAGAGAGATCACATCAAAAAACACTCCAGCGCCCTTCTAACTTTCTTTTTTAAGTGACAGATTTTTTCTCAACTTGTCGAAATCGTGCAGACAACTAGAAAAACAATCATCAACACTCCTTACTATCTTTCTCACTTTCTATTGCCTTGAAATTCTCTATTTTCAGGTAAATCTCGTATTTATCAAAAGAGAAATTTATATTTTTTATTTATTGTACGAAAATTACTGCTTACAACCACACAACAAATTGACTCAAATTTTAGACCTCACAATCCACCTACAAATTTAATGAATTCACAACAACATAGAGATGGAATTAATTTGCCCACACCATTGATCCCCAAATTGATCTAAAATTTAAAATTCATCTCCCAAGAAATCACTAAAACAATTCACCAAAAATTTCATCAAATTTGACCATTCAAGTAATCCTTGACCCAACTTACTATTTATCAAAACCAAAAGCCCAAACCACCACAAAGACATGCGTGCATAGGAGGGTAAAATTGTAACTTCTCCATTTCTATTCACACAAGTTGGGACACGACACTGACGAGAGATCTGATTGTAATTTTTAAAACAAGAAGGGGTATAGTGAAATAGCTAAAAACTGCAAGGGGTGTCATTGTAATTACCCAAAAGCTTTCTTCTTGAGTCAAACGAAGTAAAATAGGTTATTATTATTATTATTATTTTTTGACAGCATTAGCTGTGTCGGCGGAGGAGTTGATAAAACAAGAAATCTAAACGAAAATCGGCTTATGATAAAACAATGATGCTCCTTCATCTTCTTCTATAGTATATTTATTCTCTAGATTTAGATGATGGGAGAGGATTGTTAAAGAGCTTAGTTGGTGTTTACGAAGGACTCATCAAATCACAAAACTAGAAAGGGGAAGAAAGTCAAAAAAGAATTATTGAAGTAGAACATGAAGATTCTTCCGGCAGATATTTTGATCGGGGTCGGAAGAAGCAAGGAGTGATAGAGAGAGTGAGAAGTTGTACAAATAAAAAAAAAAAGAAAAGAAATGAGGAAGAATGGTGGAGGTGTTCTCAGTCCTCTCCCCACCAGGAGAGAACTTGGAACACTAACTGAGGTTTCTTCTTCTACCGGATCGCTTCTATTGGCAATCTGAATTGTTTTGCGCCCAAATTTTAATAGAAAATCAAGAGATCGGGAGTAGAGTTGGGTCATTTTGGTCTTCAGTTTATTGTGTGTGTGTGTGTGAGAGAGAGAGAGAGAGAGAGAGAGAGAGAGAGAATGGAGGCGAGTGCCGGTTTAGTAGCGGGTTCCCACAACCGTAACGAGCTAGTCGTCATCCGTCTCGACGGTGAATCCGCTGTGAGTTAGTTCTCTTCACCTATGCTTTTGGAGTAATAAGGATAGAAATTAACCGAGTTTTTTTTTAATGTATGCCCCTTTCTCAATCTCTTTATCTCTCCAAATTATTGTCCCGCAGCCAAAGCCGTTAGAGCAGCTTAGTAGGCAAATATGCTTGATATGCGGTGATGATGTTGGGCTCACGGTTGATGGAGAGCTCTTCGTGGCCTGCAATGAGTGTGCCTTTCCGATTTGCAGGACTTGCTACGAGTACGAGCGAAGCGAAGGCACCCAAGTCTGCCCCCAGTGCAAAACTCGCTTCAAACGTCTCAAGGGTAAATCACTCTATCCAACTCAACGACTATTCTTTCAGAGAAGGAAATTCTTAATGAATTGAACGACTTAATTTGAACTCGCCTTTTTCTTTTGCAGTAAATATTGCTTGCCATCAAACGGTGATCTCTCTTTTAATTTTTTGTTTTCTTCTCTATAACTATCGCATATAGGGTGTGCTAGAGTGGAAGGTGATGAAGAAGAAGATGACATCGACGATGTGGAGAATGAGTTCAATTTTTGTGGCAAGGGTGGTAATGGTGCCAAAAAGGACCACCACCACCATGCTTTAGCTGATGATGATGCTATGCTGCAGGGCTTCGAACCCGACATGCCTCATCAAGGCCTACAAACCACACTACCTCAATTTCCCCTCCTCACCAATGGTCAGATGGTACTGCATCTCCTCCTCCTCTGAGATATGCGCTTAATTATTCCCTTACCTGATCCTGCAGTGCAACCCAGATCCATGGATCCTTCCAAGGATTTGGCTGCTTACGGTTATGGAAGTGTAGCTTGGAAGGAGAGGATGGAGAGTTGGAAACTGAAACAAGAGAAGGTACAGATGTTGAAGAATGAAAATGGTCACAAAGAGTTGGACCATGATGGGGATGGACTTGATTTACCACTGTAAGCTATCTCCAAAATACCCCCTCCCTTACCGGATGAAGTGGAAAATAGTGATGGCATGTCATTTAAGTTAATTCTTCTGATTTTCAAGGACTATTGTTTAGAAACCCAAAGAAATCTGACATTACAATAATGTTCTTTCTCTCTCTTCTGAAACAATTCAATCCCATTTTTGGAACTTTAATTATCCAAGTTGTTTAACTGGTTTTACAATCAACAAATTTTAATAAGTTCAACAGTAATTGCTTTCCACATTAGGATGACTGGATGTGCTCTAGTTGATAACTGATACTGTTTGCCTTTGTTTCCTGCATAATTAAAATTGAAATCCATAAGGATAGCTGATATTGGAGTAGCTTCTGTATTCTTTGATCAGAATGGATGAGGCAAGACAACCATTGTCAAGAAAGTTACCTATTTCATCAAGCCAAATCAATCCTTACAGAATGATCATCATTATTCGGCTTGTGGTCCTTGGGTTTTTCTTCCACTATCGGGTCATGCATCCTGTGAATGATGCTTATGCATTGTGGCTTGTATCTGTGATCTGTGAACTTTGGTTTGCTCTTTCATGGATTCTCGATCAATTCCCAAAGTGGCTCCCAATTGACAGGGAAACCTATCTAGACAGATTGTCGTTGAGGTTATTAATCAGCCAGCTTCACCTTTGCGTGCTGCAATACTTGTAGTCGTGTATCCACCCGGTTGGATTAATCAACCCTTATCCATATACCTGCTTGTTAGGTATGAGAAGGAAGGTCATCCCTCACAGTTATCTCCAGTAGATCTATTTGCGAGTACGGTTGATCCATTGAAAGAACCCCCTCTGGTGACTGCGAACACCGTTCTATCCATTCTTGCAGTGGATTACCCGGTTGACAAGGTCTCATGTTATGTATCCGATGATGGTGCTGCCATGTTGACATTTGAGGCATTATCAGAAACGTCAGAATTTGCTAAGAAGTGGGTGCCTTTCTGCAAGAAGTTTAGCATTGAGCCACGGGCACCTGAGTGGTATTTTGCTCAGAAGCTTGATTATCTCAAAGATAAGGTGTTGCCTTCATTTGTAAAGGAACGAAGAGAGATGAAGGTAATGATGTTGTGTTATTCATTTTTTTGTTTTACCACCACAAATTTTTTCTTCCAAGCGGGTCTTGCAGACGGTATTGTAAATGAGTTTCTGATCGGGTTTGCAGAGAGAATACGAGGAGTTCAAGGTTCGGATAAATGCTTTGGTTGCCAAGGCACAAAAGGTCCCCGAGGAAGGGTGGACAATGCAGGATGGGACTCCATGGCCTGGCAATAACGTTCGAGATCATCCTGGGATGATTCAGGTAGCCGATCCAAGTTTCGTCAATTTTATTATCCATATCATGCTCATTCTATAGCTCTATTGTTGTTCTTGTGATCTTTCACAGGTCTTTCTTGGCCAAAGTGGTGGACCTGACACATATGGAAATGAATTACCACGCTTGGTATACGTCTCTAGGGAAAAGAGACCTGGATTCAATCACCACAAGAAGGCTGGTGCTATGAATGCTTTGGTATGTAATAAACTAAAGTTTTTACTTCTGGGTCCCACTCGATCTAAATCAATCAAAAGATTTGTTTCCTTTTCATATGAATTCGTTCTGTGTATGTCAGGTCAGAGTCTCTGCTGTGCTCACTAATGCGCCTTATTTGTTGAATTTGGATTGTGATCACTATGTCAACAACAGCAAGGCTCTCAGGGAAGCAATGTGTTTCATGATGGATCCCTTACTGGGGAAGAGAGTATGCTATGTTCAGTTCCCTCAGAGGTTTGATGGAATTGACAAGAATGATCGATATGCCAACAGGAACACTGTATTCTTTGATGTGAGTGCTTACTATGGCTTCTTAGTGTTGCTGTTTTGTTATCAGTTCTGGTAGTATTAATTTCAATTTTCTTTGCCTCCAGATTAACATGAAAGGTTTAGATGGCATTCAAGGACCCATTTATGTCGGGACTGGATGTGTGTTCAGAAGGCAGGCACTATATGGTTATGAAGCTCCGAAGACGAAGAAGCCACTAACAAGGACTTGCAACTGCTGGCCAAAGTGGTGGTGTTGTGGATGCTGTTGTACTGGAAGGAGGAGGAAGACGAAGACTAACAAGCCCAAGTCTGAGGTGAAGCAGAAGAATTTTAGGAAGGATAATGAAGGAGCAATTGTGTGTGTGGAAGAGGCTGTGGAAGAGGGCATCGAAGGTAAGAATGATGTTTTTAAATGTATTCTTGAATAAATTTGCTACTCCTAATGCAGGTTTACACATGTTTATTCAACATTGCTTTTTCTAGGTTTACCATAGATGTAGGCACCTTTTGCCTGTGTATATCACTGAATTTTACTTCATCATATTAATCTGAAGTGGTCATTATCTCGGCCTATCTCTTTTAGAACTGTTCTTTTATTTATTAGTAGACTGGATTTAATTCGTGGATTGTAGGACATTATTTTGATTTGTCCAGATTTTACATTTTGACACTAAACAACATAATATATTTGCAGAATAATGCTGAAATGTAGTTAATAGTTTTCCATTTGGTAACATGCTTCTTGTGGGTATTCAATAGTTCCATTGATGGACAAACTTTGTCGGTTGATTGATGTTGTCCATCAGTATCCTTCATTTTGTAATTTGACCCAGAAAGAATGTATGTGCAGGGGTCACAGGTGAAAATTTGGCTCCAACATCCGAGCATAAGTTGGGAAAAAAGTTTGGGCAGTCTCCTGTGTTTGTTGTATCCACATTGCTAGAGAATGGTGGCACACTGAAAAGTGCTAGCCCTGCGTCTCTGCTTAGAGAAGCCATACATGTTATTAGCTGTGGTTATGAAGATAAAACAGAATGGGGAAAAGAGGTAAAGCTAATATTTGGTTCCTTTGCTGAGGTTCTATATTGGGTACAATTGCATTGAATTCTTTTCGAATTTAGCTTGAGCTAACTACTCTTATACATTTTTTCCACTTTTAGGTTGGTTGGATTTATGGATCAGTTACAGAGGATATTTTGACAGGTTTTAAAATGCATTGCCATGGATGGCGATCCATATATTGTATCCCAGCAAGGCCTGCATTCAAAGGATCGGCACCAATCAATCTTTCTGACCGTCTCCACCAGGTCCTTCAGTGGGCCCTTGGTTCAATTGAAATATTTTTGAGCAGGCACTGTCCATCTGGTATGGTTATGGAGGTGGTCTGAAATGGTTAGAGCGTTTATCTCACATAAATGCTACTGTATATCCATGGACATCTATACCGCTTTTGGCATATTGCACCCTGCCTGCTGTGTGCTTCCTCACAGGGAAATTTATCACACCTGAGGTCTGGAATTTGCTATCAATCTATGTTGATCAAAGAGAGAGGCCTTTTTTTTTTTGTACATGTTGCTGAACCTTTCTCAAGATTGATACCTAACATAATTTCATTTTTCAATGCAGCTTAGTAATGCTGCAAGCGTGTGGTTTTTGTCACTTTTCATCTGTATTTTTGCAACAAGCATCCTGGAAATGAGATGGAGCGGAGTTGGTATAGATGAGTGGTGGAGAAATGAGCAATTTTGGGTAATTGGAGGTGTTTCAGCACATTTATTCGCTGTGTTCCAGGGACTATTGAAGGTGTTAGCTGGGGTTGATACAAACTTCACCGTGACATCAAAAGCGGGGGATGATGCTGACTTCTCAGAACTATATGCATTCAAGTGGACTACATTGCTCATCCCACCGACCACACTGTTAATAATAAACTTGATAGGAGTAGTTGCTGGCGTCTCTAATGCAATAAATAATGGGTATGAGTCTTGGGGTCCTCTGTTTGGTAAGCTCTTTTTCGCCTTCTGGGTGATAGTTCATCTGTACCCTTTCCTTAAAGGTCTACTCGGCCGGCAGAACAGGACTCCAACGATCATTATTGTCTGGTCAATTTTGCTTGCCTCCATATTTTCCCTTTTGTGGGTTCGGATTGATCCCTTCTTGGCCAGGTCGGATGGCCCAGTTCTCAAGGAATGTGGATTGGACTGTACTTAGCAGTGATTCTACTCTTATTGAGATGCATTGATATGAAGTTTGTGTCGACGATGCAAATAAATGTTTGGGGATGGTCTCTGCAATCCGTAGATTAAATCTGTGTCAGGGGTTGCTTTGTCTCGTTGCGCTTTTGGTGGAAATGGAATTGATCATACCCGAGTTTCAGTGTGTAGTGTGGGATTGTTGAGCACATCTACAAAGAACGCTCCTCATTCTTTATTATTATATCGGTATATTTAGAGAAGAGGTGGAGAGCCATGGTACCACCCTACGCTCCTCTCTCGCTCTCTCTCTTCTCTTCTTCACAATAAAGGTGGTTTTGCTCTACTACAGGTAACTACAAAAGTGTAATTCAATGTGCAAATATTTAGTTGTTGGTGCTTTTTCTCCAGTGGATTGTGGCCTTGTGGGAGTGGAAGTTGCTGTTAGACGCCCCCATTGTTCCTGCTAAAAAGTGCTCATGTTGCCAAAGATTACGCTGTTGGTAATTTTCCAATTACTGATCGAATAGAGTAGCCATGTGCAACTTGACAAAAGTTGGGGTTGGGTTCCACGAGAGAGGAAGTAATCATTTCCATCTAATAGCCTTAGAATTGAAGGGTAGACCCAACCCATTTGTTCACAAGCCTAATAGCTGAGCCAGTGCGTGTTTAGTCATAGACAGTGGATACAGCTACTAGGGCCCGTGCTACGTATCTCAAAACCAAGTTGGCTCAAGTAACGGGAAAACCAAACAGGACCAACGTTTACTCAAAATGCACAATTATAGGACTTCGAAGAATCATAACTGATAAATATGAGTAACAACCCATTTCAGAAGCATAATCTGAACAAGCCTAATAGCTGAGCCATGCGCATTTAGTCATCGACAGTGGATACAGCTGCTATGGTCTGTGATACGTATCTCAAAACCAAGTTGGCTCAAGTAACGGGAAAACCAAACACGGGACCAGCGCTTACTAGAAATGCACAATTATAGGACTTTGAAGAATCATAACTGATAAATTCGGTCCTTGTTAGCTCACTCTCCCCAATATGAGTAACAATTCATTTCAGAAGCATAATCTGCTCGATCTCCTCATCTTTTGATTCTCATCAGCTCCTGCAAATAAGTTTGAGCCTGAAACTTATTCAATTGCTCAACCCAGATTCACTTCCCCAGTTGCACAATACAATAATCACAACGCATAAGTCCAAGCAGATGCTGTCAATTCCGCCAACTGCTTCCAGCCAAAATTGGGAACAAGTTCCATGTGTGGGTAACTAAAAACTAAACACTATGAGAAATATAGATGAGTTGCAGCACCATGCAACTACCGCTAATCTTGCTGGCTATGCCCAAAACTTAAAACTTTAGGAAACAGAATTTTTTATGAAAAAAAAAAAGAATTACTATTGATAATTATAAACAAAAGTACATATAAATTTTACACCTTCACATCCCATCCAGGCTTCATTATCACATCTCTTTGCACGTCCACATAAACCCAGCGGGCAAGGGACACCGAGAGATTATTGGGTAACCCTGATCAAGTATTGGTGTTCTAAATGATGGGCGGGTCAGCAGATGGGCACCAATTCTTGCTGCGGGAGAAAAAACTAACTAATAAGATGAAATATGTCACATAAGCCATGTATTAACTGACAACATAGCTGTCAACCTATACCTTGGACTCACCAAGTTCAACATCCTTCACACAGGTGTTTTCTACTCCATGCTTCAACAGTCCAATCTCCTCTTCTGTCAAACTCTTTTTGGTAAGGGCTGTGGTTTGGGTAGTGGACTGCTTTCCGACCTCCACTGCCCAACTATAAATTACCATGCCAATAACAGCAACAATCATTCCCATGATGTTCTTAAAAGTCAACTCTGAATCAAATAGCAGCCACCCTAATGTGAGGACACATGGTTTTCATATGACCTAAAACCTGGAAGGAAACGGCTGAGAATTGTCCAATGCAAAGGTATTTGCTCATGTTGCAGAACACTGCTAGGAAGCATGAAAGGAGAATAAAAAACTGCACAGATTGCCACCACTCATTAGAGGTATTCCACGGAAGTTGATCTAACACAGGAATTAATCTGCAGATGCACAACATATATTCAGACAGAATAAGATCCAAAGAAAAGAAGAGTTGCTTACAATGGCACCAGAGGACCACTGGTAGTTTGATATGAATTTTCCACAAAAGGACCCATCACTAGGAGAGAGAGTGCTTAAATTGGAGCTGTTTTGCTCAACAATTCAAAAGATCCAATTGAGTACTTTTTCTGCAAGGAACCAATGGACTGCACCACAAAAAAACATAGTGGCCCATCATAAATCTGAGCTTAAACATTAAGACCTTTGTTTCGTTCTCACAAAAAATAGAGTATCCAGGCATAACGTAATTTACACATTCAGTGCATAATGTGCAAGATCCTAGAATGTTAAGCATTATAAGCAGGTAATGGAATATATAGAGTCTGGAAACTCTGAAAACAGTTTTGAGTACCCTACTAAGTTAAGAAAACCATTTATCTCATATTAAAATGTAACTCTGACAGTTCCAGTCCTCAATTAGTCTTGCTTTCCTGTCACTCGAGTCCAAACCAAATACATACGAGAGTGAACAAATTGGTTACTCCATCGGAACAAATACATTTCTGTATGTCTATCCGTATTAGACATGGGAAGAAACCATACTAGATGCTATAGCACCTAATTTGCAACAACTTCAATTCTCTTCCTTCCCTAATTTGTATTTCCAGTCCACCTCCTTCTATGTGCATGTTACAAAGTTGAGAATGATCTAGATTGCATGTTACACTTCTTTGAGAGGAAATGTGAAATGCTTAAGAGTAAAATATTATACTCCTCACGAATAAAATATTTTTTGCTACCAAGACTCGGGCATCAATTTCTTTCTATCTATGTTAAATTTTGAAATAATGGATATCAAGAACATGATGACATCAAAGTTCACCCTGGGCTACACAGACTGTTAAATTGCCATCCCACAACCAGCCCCATTCCTGTTCAATGAATGATCCTGTTTATAAATCGCTGCAGTCAATATATGCGAAAAATGAGATGAAAATTGCATGCACTCACAATTTGTTGCAATGATGTTGACAATACTGCTACACAAGCACAGATAAAACCTTTGGCATTAACTATGACGTCAGTTACAGTGCAAACACCAACACCAATAACCACAACCACAACAGACATTTTAACTTCCCTTGTGTAATGCTTATTATGAAGGATCCACTCAATCACACAAACCACAGGAATCATGCTCAATTTTGAGATCTACACCAAAAACACAATGCTACATCAGCAAATTAGGGGAAAACAGCTTATATAGAAAAGTTCTATTTTAGACAGGAACAAGGCAGGGCCACATTGTAATGCAAACTGCAGAAACTTTAATGGATGTAAAATGCATAACAGCAGAGAATATTTTAATTCTAAATCAACCTTCTGTTGTCACTCCATTTCTCTTCATCCCTGTGAATCCTGAAACCCAAGGGGACTTTCGCATACTCACAAATTAAACACCTCCCAATACCACATAACTATGAAAGATCACAATTCATGAATTTTGGTCAACTGAAGTGGCATTGTCCACCCATTTTTTTTCCCGATAAGCAATGATACTTTTGTTAATCAAAAAGATCACAAAAGTACAAAAGGGAGTGGTCAAAGGTGGACATGTCATCCAAACCAAAGACACATGTAAATGAAATAAAAGTAAAATAAAATACAACATAAACAAGACCCCAAAAACTACGATGAACACTAGGAAGCACAAATACTCCGGCGAGGGTCGACGTGTTAGTGTCGGAACGTGTCCGACACAGATACGTGTGAGACACGGCCAGATACAGGAGGTATACGATACCTTACCGGTCCATCTCTTCGTCTGCTTTAGCAGACAGCCAGATATGTCTTCTTCGAAACTCTTCCTCTTCTTTTTTCCTTCTTCATTTGTTATTCTTTTTATTCACTAGGGAAAGGGTCTGAACCCCCCGCCCCCCCCTCTCTTTCTCTCTCCAATTTGTGGGAGATCGATCGTCAGGCAGCCCTAGTTCACCAAACAAAGGGTCTAGACTCTAAACCCCCCCAGCCCCCGCTAACTCTTTTATTTTTTATTTTTTGATGTCTCTCTCTCGTTAGGATTCTCACGCTTTGCTTTTTTTTTTTTTTTTTCCCCCGTTTTCTCTTTCTCTCTCTATATATATTTGAATACACTTTATTTTTCAGTTTTTAAAAAAAAAATAGTTTTCTTCTTTTTTAATATAATCTATTTATTAGTTGTCAAATACATTAACTTATTGTCCAATTTGATATTAACCTGTCCAATTGTAACATATTAGTCCACTGCATAATTTGATATTAGCCCATTATCCAATTATAAAATATTAACCAACTGCTCAATGTTTATTAGGTTGTATTGTTAATATTTTTATTTATAAAAAGTATATAATATTATTTTAATTAACCGTATCTTTGCCGTAACCGTCCCCGTATGTATCGGATACGACACCCATGTCCGTATCCGTACTTCTTAGGTTGAACATCAAGCTGTCTAACTGAAAGTAAAACAAAAAAGAAGAGTATTCTCAAGCTCTTTAGTGACTGACAAATTTCTTCACATGCAACTTATAGTAGAATGATGCAAAAACAACCTTCTTGCTTACAAACTTGCTACCACAACTCCAGGAAACTTCCCTCTGATTTTGAAACCCGAAAAATTTGGAACGTTCAAGTAATGACGTGTAGGGTAAGAAGGAAACAAATTTCAGATATAAAAGAAGTACCATCAGTTAAAGATACAAAAGAGAGAGAAACTGCTAATATGTGTTGGCCTAAGGATTAAAATTTCGTTTCGGTACATAATTTTGATGAGCTAGAAAATTGAAACGTTTCGATAATATTTTGGAAACAAGATGGACACAAAGAAATATTTGAAAATTTATTTTCGAAACATTGGTTGAAACATACCCAAATGTTCCAAAACATAGGTCGAAACACTTTAAAACATCTCGAAATATAGGAATTTTGATATCTAATCAATGATTCGTTTCGATTTCCATGGAAATGAAAATGTTTCGGACATTTCGAAACAAAATGCAGTTCCTAGGGTTGGCTATGTGCAAGAAAGACCAAAAAAACTACACTGGTGCAGAGTGGTAAGATCCACCTTCAAGGTAATGTTAAAGAAGAGAGAATATCAAAATCCACATGAACTAATAAGTAGAGACTTGGTCACTTATCTCATCGCAATAATTACCTAGGTGTGATGAAATGGAATTCTTTTAACTTACCCAAATAGTGGGGTCCTAGATGACCTACTATGTCCCAAGTGTGCAGTGAATTCCAAAAAACCTTGTTGCTTTGGCAGACCAGAATTGAAGCTGGGATTACTGAAAGTTACACCAATAAAATGCAGTAAGTGCTAAGGAATCCAAGTTTGCAGCTACTTTGGGTGTCTATAAACTGCTGGGAGAATTGACAACACC